AGGGCGTTTGGGAGGGAATATGAGAGGTGAAAAACAACAAGGGTGCTGTTTAAGTCTCATTGGGAGTGGTGGAGGGTTATGAAGGAGAAGATCAAGGGGTGGTTTATTCAAGTTGGGAAGCGACAGGCGTGGGAGAAGAGGAAGGAACTGGGGAGGCTGCAGGGGAAGGTTCAGGTGTTGATTCGGGAAGCGATGGGGGGAAAGGAAGTGAAGCGGGAGTTGGGGGAAGCGAAGCGGGCAGTGGAGGAATGGTTTCGGGGGAAGGAGCAGGAGAGGATGTTTTTAGCGCGGGCTCCGTGGATGGGGGAGGGGGAGGAATGGGGGAAGTATTTTGCAGAGAGGATGAAGAAGGGGAGCAAGGAAGTGGGAGCGGTGGTGACAGGGGAGGGGGTGAGGGTAGAGAAGCAGAAACCAGAAGCAGGAGGAGCGGCTGAGGGAGGAAAAGGAAGCGGAGGAGGTGGCAAGAGGCGAGCAAGCAGGGAAGAAAGAAGAGAAGGAGCAGCAGGACCAGCAGGGCGAGAGTGTGAGGAAATGGGGAGAAGAAGAATGCGGTGAAGAAAAAGAAGATAATACGGGAACCGTGTGGGGAGAGAAGGACCCACGGCGGTGGGTAAAGTTAAGGATAAAAGCGACTTTGTTGAAAGAGGGATTTTTGGGAGAATCAAGACTACAGAGGACAGAGTTTATGGAAAGAATACTACTCAGGGACTGCAGAGTGGATGCGAAGGACCTTAGCGCGGTTATCGCGCATGAAAACAACCGGGCGTGGACTATTACGTTCTGGAAGAGGGGGGCTTACGATGAGTTTTGGGTGCGGCTTGGTAAGTTGAGGAGGGTGGGGGCACTAAAGGGGATACGTTTTGAGGCAGGGGAAAAGGAACAGGAGAGAGTATTGGTGATACGTTTGTTTAATGATATGGTGGAGCAGGAGGACGTGGTGAGATGTTTAGAGGGCAAGGTGCAGAGGGTCATGTGGGTAGAACAGATTCTCGATAGATAGAAAATCTGGAACAGGGCATGGAGGGCATGGGTGTCGCTATTTGGGGGGGGGGAGCGGGGGGGGGTCAAGCATTTGTCTTCTATGTGTTTTTTGGGGCCAAATAAGGGGTATGTTAGTTATTTTGGGCAGCCCAAGCTGTGCTCAACTTGTGGGAAGGAGGGGCACCTGGCGGCGTTTTGCAATTTTACAGTTTGCTTTCGGTGCGGGGGACAGGGGCATAGGGCACAGGTGTGTATGACGGTGGGGAAATGCATTATTTGTGGGAAAGAGGGGCATTTTTCGTGGGAGTGCCCCATATCGTACGCCGGTCAGGCTTGGGCGGGGGGGGGGAACCGGAGAGCGAGGGGGGGGGAGGGGAGGAAGATGAAGATGTGAGGGAGGAGGGAGAGGAGGACAGCGTGTCCTCAGTAGCCTCCATGGAGGGAATAACCGGGGCTCAAGAAGGGGGTGGGTATGAGGGAGAGCGGGGAAGATAAGAGGGAAGTGGGAAAAGAGGAGAGTCTGAAGAAACTTGAGAAGGAAGGGGGGGGCAAGGAGAGTACGTGGGAGGGAAAGTGGAGAGATATTGGCAAGACAGAGGGAAAGCGCTGAAAGTGGTGGGGGAAAGGAGGTGAAGAAAGCGAAGGGGGAGAAAAGGGGGAGACAAGATGCGGGAAGGGGAAGAAGAAATGGGGAAGGAGACGGGAAGGGGAAAAAGGTTGTTGGGTGAGGGGGAGAAAGAAGGGAAGAGTCCGGAAAGCGGCGGGGAGAGTGGGGAGAAGGGTTTCTTAAGCCCGACGGCCATTGTGGCTTTAGCGAGAGCTACGGGGATGTGGGCAGAGGGGATGGGGAGGGAAGGGAAAGAAGGCTCGAGAGGGAAAGTGGGGGGAGGTGAAGTGGTGGGTTGAAAGGGAGTGTTGCGGATAAGGGGGGGGAGGGGGGGGAGGCAATCACGCATAGATTTTATGTTTGTTTCACCAGGAATGAGGGGAGTGAGGAAAGCGGTTGGGGATGTGAGTTTTTCTGATCATCGAATGTTGAGGGTGCAGGTGGAGGTAGGGAAGGGGGGGAAACGGGGGAGAGGGATATGGAAGTTGAATTTGAAATTAGTGGAAGATGAGAGGAGGTGCGAAGAGTTGAGGGAACTATACAGAGGGTGGAGGACACTTCAGGGGTTGTTTGCAACAAGATGGGAGTGGTGGGTGATGGTTAAAGGGAGGGTGAAGGAATGGTTCATTAAAGAGGGGAGAAGACGAGCGAGGGAGGGAATTGGAAAGGAGACAAAGGGTTGTTCAGGAGTTGTTAAGGAGGGCGGGGGAAGGGAGGGAGGTCCAGGAGGAGTTAAGGGAGGCAAGACGAAAGGTGGAGGAATGGTTTGGGGAGCGGGAGCGGGTTTTTCTGGTGAGGGCACGGTGGGTGGAGGAGGGGGAAAGGTGGAACAAATATCTGGCATCAAGAGTGAGGAAAGGGAGGGCAGAACTGGGTAAAATTAAAACAGGGGAGGGGAAATGGGTGGAAGGGACAAAGGAGATTTTGGAGGAGGCGACAAAGTTTTACAAGGATTTGTATAGAGGGGGAAGGGGGATAATGGAAGGGAGGAGTTAGTGGGTGAAGGGGCTAAAGGGGCGGGTGGCGGAAGGGTGTTTGAAAGGGATGGCGGGAGGGAAAGTGCCGGGGCTAGATGGGTTAGGGAAGGAATTTTACTGCAAATTTTGGGACTTGGTGGGGGAGGATATGGTTATGTTGTTTAGAGAGATCACGGAATTGGGTATGGTGGGGGAGGGGGTTGCGGATGGGGTAGTAATTTTGTTATATAAAAAGGGGGAGAGGGGGGATTTGAAAAACTGGATGCCGATTACTTTATTAAATGGAGATTATAAGTTGTTTATGAAGGTGTTGGCGGGGCGCTTAAAGAGGGTGTTGGGACAGGTGGTGGGGGAAGGACAAACACGTGCGGTGGAGGGAAGGAAGATTTACCAGACGCACTGGGTTCTGAGGGATATTGTAGAGTATGCATGGGTGAGGAAATGGGAGTTGGGGATCGGAAGTTTAGACTTGGAGAAAGTTTACGATTGGGTGGAGCACAGGTTTTTGTTTGAGGTATTGGAGGGGATGGGGGTGCCAAGGAGGTTTGTGGGGTGGGTGAAAGGGGTATATGAAGGGGCACAGAGCAGGATGTTAGTTAAAGGGTGTTTGGGAAGGGAGCTTAGGGTGGGGGTTCGCCAGGGATGTCCACTGTCACCGGGGTTGTGTGTGTGTGGCATGGAGGTTTTAGCACAAAAGATTAGGGGGGATAGGGGTATTAGAGGGGTGCAAGTTCCGGGGGGGGGGGGGGAGAAGGTAAAGGTTTTGCTTTATATGGATGATATTACGGTGGTGGTGAGAGATAAATATTCGTTAGGGAGGGTGTTAACACGTGGGGGAGTATGGGGAAATTTCTGGGACGAGGTTGAACAAAGGTAAGAGTGTGTGGGTACAAGGGGAATGGGAGGGGATAGAGGGATTTGGGGTGAAGGTAATTAGGGACAACTTGAGGGTTTGGGGGGTTACATTGGATAGGGATGGGAAGGGGAAGCGGGCATGGGAAGAGCTGCAAGGGAGGGTAAAGAAAGTGGTAGGGTGCTGGGGCACTAGGGGATTGTCTTTGGGTGGTAAGGTGGAGGTCATTAAGAGGTTTTTGCTGCCAGTAGTGTTGTTCACGGGGAGGGTATATCCCCCGTCATGGGCACAAGTCAGGAAGGTGCAGAGGGAGAGTTGTCTCTTCTTTTTTTTTGGGGGGGGGGGGGGGGGGGGGGAGTAGAGAGGGTGGAAAGGAAAGAAATATACAAGGAAGGGGAGAGGGGTGGATGGGAGGTGCCGGAAGTGGAGGTGTTTGTGTATGGGCATGTGGTGGCAGGGGTGGGGAGGGAAGCACTGAGGGGGGAAGGATATGCGGGGAAGTTTGGGAGGTACTGTGGGGGGGAGGTTGTGGAGGGCTCTGGGGTTGTTTAGGGACAGATGGACGGGGGTGTGGGCGGGAAAACCGTCCATGCATTATGGGAGAGTAGGGAGTTTCATTAGGGAGAAGGAATTGGGCGGGTTGGGGAGAGAGGGATTGCAAAATGCAAGGGAGATGTTGAAAATGATTAGGGGGAAGGATGGGCTAACAGATGTGGGGGAACTTTCGTGGGTACAGGTACGGCGGGTATGGAAGGGGGTGGTAGAGAAGAGATGGGAACCGGGGCATAGGGAATTAGGGTGGAGGGTTGTTAGAAGGGTATTGATGGTAAGGGAAATACAATATAGATGGAGATTGGTAAGGTCACCGGTATGTCCACAGGAGTTGTGTCAGGGGGAAGAGTCAGTACACCATATCTTTTGGGAATGTGATTATGCACGGAAAATGTGGGGGAGGGTGGGGAAATTTTTGAGGGAGCTAGGGTGGGTGGAAGGGATCTTGTATGAAGGGGCATTATACGGATTAGTGGAAGGGGGGGAAAAGGACTTGGGAGATGCAGGTTATTTTGATGGGGGTGAGAGTGGCACTGTGGAAAATAAGGTGTTTATTGGTTAGGAAGAGGTTATTTTTCACAACTAGGGAATGTTTACAATTAGGGTGGTACGAGATAAAGGGATATATAGAGGAAGGGGGGGGGAGGTGGGCAGGATAGGTTTAAAGGGGGGGGGGGGGGCGGTGTGGCACAGGGTAAGGTGGAGGCGCTTATTTGAGCCGGCAGGGATAGGGTAGCAGGGGAGATGTGGATGGACAGAGGGGATAGAAGGAAAGGTAGCAGATAGGATGAGAGAAAGGAGAAGGGGAAGAGGAATGGGGGGGGGGGAGGAATGTGTCGGGTTTTGCAGTAGGACTGTAAGAAGAATGGAGGGGAAATGTGAAAGTTGAATGAAGATGTAGAAGGCGTTGGGTTGTGCTTTGTATAGCGTCAGGAAGACACAGGGTGTTGCGTTAAAGATGGCGTCAGTTTGAGCTTTGTATAGCGTTGGGAAGACATAGGGTGTTTGCGTTAAGGATGGCTATGGATCAACCTGTTTTATTTAAAAAAAAAAAAAAAAAAAAAAATCTGTTCTTATCAGTTTAATCGCTGATACGTCCTCGATGTGAGGACCGACGCATTAAACACATTTTTGGTGCCGGGAGCGGGCCTCGGAGCTTGCTCCAGCCCCTCCATGCATCGGCCCAGTATTGCAGTACCTCCAGGCCCGGTGCCCGCCCCCCTTCCGGGGGAGCGCCTTCTTCCGCCTCTCTGGGTTCCAAAAGCAGCGGCAGCAGGGGCGGGGCCGTGGCCCCTGGGTGACCCCAGGGGGCAGACCCTATGCAAAAGGCTGCCGCCGGGCGGGCAGCACACTGGCAGGGGAGCAAGCGAGCGAGTGTGCGCCCTCCTGCTCGGCAGGCAGCACTGCTCCACTGCCGCCTCCCGCCGGGGGCCGCGGGGCCTGGGCAGGCGGGCCGGGAGCCCGCCCATCCCCCAGGGGCCCGCCGCGGGCCTTGAAGCGGCGCCCGGAGGGTGGGTCGGGGAGGCCGGGGCCTTCCAGGCTACTGGCAGGCAGGCCTTGCAGCCTCTTGCCGTGCCTCTCACCCTCTGGCTCGACCTGCGAGCCCGCTTAAGACCAGATGCTGCGTTCATTGGGCGTCGTCACCGCCGACGACCAAAGCCAGAGTGGCTTTCCCGCCCGCAGGAGAGCCAGCCAGTTGGACTGTGTGGTGGCGTTCGATAGCAGGATGGTTTGGAATTTAACCTTCGGGAACGAGAAATGCTATGCCGCCTTTTGGGAGGCACATAAGGAGGCATTAAAGCAGGGGGAATTGGAGGGGTTGGTTTTCGATATGGGACAGAAGGCTCGGGAGAGGAGTCTGTATATTAAGATGTTTACTGACAGGTTGGATAAAGAGGATATGAAATTCTGGCTGGAGCAGAGGGTACAGAGGGTAGTGTTTGTGGAAAAGGAGCGTGACCGGTGGGGGATTTGGATGGGGGCATGGAGGGCAAAGGTGGTTTTACTTGAGGAGGTGGGGAGTCCGGGGGCTGTGAAGCACTTGGCCTCAGCTGTGCAAGTTGGTTCCTGTAGAGGTTACTTGACCTATTTCGACCAACCTAAATTGTGTAACAGGTGTGGGCAAGCAGGGCACCTGGCGGCGTTTTGTCATTTGACTATTTGTTATCGGTGCAGGGGGATGGGACACACGGCCCAATTTTGTAAAGAGAGTTTCGTGTGTAAAGCTTGCGGGGAAGAGGGGCACGTACAGCAAACGTGTCCCTCGTCATATGCTAATAAAGTATGGATGGCGGGGCATCGAGAGAAGCGGAGAGGGAAGGAGGGAGGAATGGAGGAGGAGGAACAGCTGGGGGTAAGGGAAGAGAGGGAGGACATGGTCGTGGAAGAAACGCGGATGGGGAGGAGGGGAAAGAGGAGATAGAAGAGGCAGTGATGGAGCTGGTGGAGGAGGAGTTAGAGACAGAAGAGAAGGAGGGGGAAAAGGGGAAGAGGGCAAGGGTGGGCATACGGCATTACAACAATTGCGGGGGATGGTGGAGGTACTGGGAGCGGGGCAAATGGCCGGACAAACGAAAGGGAAGGGGTGGGCAGAGCAAATGGAGGAGATGGAAGCAACTGAACAAGGGAAGGAGGGGGGGGTTAAAGAAAAGGAAGAAACAGGGGGGGGAGAAAGGGGGGAAGAAGAAGTTGGGGTTGCAAACTGAGGGAAAGTGTGGGAGGGAAGAAGGAAAAGACTTTTGACTTTTTTTTTTTTTTTTTTTTTTTTTTTTTTTTTTTTTTTTTTTTTTTTTTTTTTTTTTTTTTTTTTTTTTTTTTTTTTTTTTTTTTTTTTTTTTTTTTTTTTTTTTTTTTTTTTTTTTTTTTTTTTTTTTTTTTTTTTTTTTTTTTTTTTTTTTTTTTTTTTTTTTTTTTTTTTTTTTTTTTTTTTTTTTTTTTTTTTTTTTTTTTTTTTTTTTTTTTTTTTTTTTTTTTTTTTACTTTTAACAACTTTATTTCACAAGATCAGGTACAGAAAGCAAAAAACCATCAAACCACACCAAAGAGAAACCATTCCAGGACATTCAGAACATCACACCGTGACAAACACCTTCGCAGTAATACACATCATGTCTAACATGCTATATATAGCCCTCGAGAAACGAACAATTCCACCCTTCCCTGTCCCATAGTACACGTACAAAAACCTTCAACTTCTCACCCCGAGAAAATAAACAAAAGCAGCCTGGTGAGGGCCCAGGGCACAGCACAGGCCGGA